AACCACGTAGCAATCTTATAAGCATTGGTCATGAAAACATGAGTTTCCGGGGTAAAGAAGTTACTCTCATCACCTGTCACAGAACAGACATGCATAATAAATGATTTTCTGAATGGCAGCAATGATGTGTCGTACCTTTGCTGTATTCTCACAGAATCCCATTTTAGTCCTCTTTGCCTCACAACTTGGAAGACCTTTTGCCTGGGAGGGACCCCTGTTGAGGCATCCTTGGGTAAACAATAATCTGCAGAGTCCTATGTATAAGCATAAGGACACACAGCTGCATGAGAATCTGACTCTTCAACCTATCTGGCAAGCTCCTCCATATGAAGCTGCACCTCACTACCTCAAAATATAGACCCTAGATCACACCAGACTTGAGATGCGGGGTTGCTCAAAGCCGTGAAGCACAATCTTGCCTCTGCAGCCATGGCATCTCCTTCCAGGAAGACAGCCCTCCACCTACAAGGTGTAGGGCTGGATTAGTTCCTGCTTCACCACTTCATCTAAGAACAAATGCCCTCTGTGAGTACACATCAGGGAAACAATGTGCTATAGAAATCTAACTGCAGGCAATCTGGAAAAAAAAAAAAGTATCTTTACTAAGGGCTTATGCCATAGGCACGTATCCCACTGCTGGCAGAAGAAGACCTGGGGAAATAAGACTAAATATGGAGATTAAATCACTGCTATTAGCAGGGTTTAGGTTGCCTTTCAAGGGTGACACAGATGTGGATAACAAAGGGCTAACACATCTTTTCTATGTGCCCTTACATAACCACAGAAAAATTTAGGCTGGAAGAGACCCACAAGCTGGTTGGGATGCCTCTTCGTCCAGCAAGGACACGGTAATATCTAGGACAGACACTAACAAGCAGAAACAGCATAAACAATGATGTCAAGTCCTATTCATCTTCTTACCTCACACAGTACTTCCACTCAAATAAACCAACAAACCACCGTCTGAATCCAATACTGCCTGTCCTAACATGATATACTATAGCCGCAGAGCCTGTCCAGACAAACTCATCAAGGTTTGTCACACTAAGTAATAAGAAAGGAAGTCCTTCCATAAGCACTAATGCAAGGCAGCATGAACGCAGTAAGAAAACAGTGAGGACTTCGCTGGGAGCCTGCCTCATTCAGTGGGTTGGCTCCTGTGCCTCAGCCTTTGCTAAGCTGGGTCACCCCGCAACACCAGGAGGTGGCCATGGCTTGCTCATGATAGCCAAACCACAAGAAGTTGTAATAAGCCATCAAAAGCTTCTCCTCTCCCTCTGGCTGTGGTTACTTTTCTCATCCTCCCTTTCCTGCAATCAAGCTGATTGCTGAGTTTCCATTAAAAGATGGAAAATGCATTTTCATCAAAAAAACAAAACCAAAACCAAACAAAAACAAACAAACAAACAAACAAACAAAAACAAAACCCAAAGAACCAACAAACAAAAAATGGAAGGAAAGAAGAAAACACCAGGCACTGGTTACTTAAACATGCTGTCAGCACTTCAGCCATAAGGAACATTGAAATGTTCAGGGCTTTCTCTGATCTAACTCCTCTGAGAAAGTGTCTGCTCAATCTTAACAACATGCATGAATATTCTGGTAAGGAAAAAAGAAAAAAAAATATCAAAATCAGTAAGAGGAAAATGGGTTCGCTTTCCTTGTGAAAGTCTTGCTCCACCTTCACAGTGAGCAGAAGAAACTGGTTCTCCAGCATATTAACTGCAGCTACACCTGTATCCTGAGCCAAAGGGAAAACAGCTTTTAAAAAGATCTTAATGTAGATTTCTTTTGGAAGAAATAAAGCATCCCTGTTTGAGAACAGGGGTACTGTGCCGCTCAGGGACTGCGCCAGCCCCAGAAGATACTCTTCAGACCTGCTGATGGTGCAATTCACCAAAGCTTTTTCTGGAGTTCAGAGACCAAACATGAACAAAAACTGGTTTTCAAAATAACATCCCACCTTCAGACCATGTACTAATTTTGTTAAGCCAGCAAAGGATGAATAGATGAGGGTACAGGAGTTCAGCTGAGCCCCTGGCACACTTGCCACCAGCTCCTTTCATGTCCTTCTTGTCTCCCAGTGTCAAGGTTTAAACCCAATCCGGTAACTCGTTCACTCACTCCCCCCCCTGCTTTCCCTCCCCCTACTCCCAGAGGGACGGAGAGGAGAACCAAAAAGAATGCAACTCCCACGGGCTGAGATAAGAACAGTTTAGTAACTAAGGTATAACACAAATCACTACTGCTACCACCAATAATAACAATGATATAGGAAATAACAAGGGAAGAGAATACATCACCTCACCACCAACCAACCAATAACTCGCCCCCCAGCCCGACCAAGCACCGACCCATACCTCCTCCAACCCTGCAGTCTCCCAGTCCTTTCGGCTAACTCCCAGTTAACCTCCTGGGCATGATGTGCTGTGGTATGGAATACCTCTTTGGTCAGTTTGGGTCAGGTGTCCTGTCTCTGCTTCCTCCTGGCTTCCCCTCCTCTCTGGCAGAGCATGAGGCTCGCAAAGTCCTTGGCCAAACCAAAACATTGCTATCAGCTCTGTTCCCAGGCCGAAAGTCAAAACACTGCACTGCACCAGCTACCAAGAAGGAGAAACATGACTGCTACTGCTGAACCCAGGACACCCAGTAACACTAATCATGCCAACAGAAGGATCCAGAGATGATCTGCATGGCCTGTTGAGCATGGGGCTGTTGAAGGACCACTGTGCTCACAGGCTCATTACCCGAACAGACATACAAAATAAGGGAAACCCTTAAAAATCAGCTACATGAGTTACCTGATGCTCTGTAATACAGTATTCCATAGCACCACTTCTCACTACTCTGATTTGCATGGGTCAAGGTAAATACGTGAGGTATGTCTCCTCTCTGAATTACCATATTTTTTAAGTGAAGAAGTTCATTACAGCACCCCTTGGAAAAGGAGCAATGCAAACCCACTAGACACATTTGAAAAGATTCTTAACCATGAACAAAACACATCAAATGTAAAGCAAGGAGACAAGGTGGGAGATCATGTCAAAAGAGATAAAAGTAGAAGAGGAGAGAGGCCACACTGCATAATGTTGAGGACAGAAATAGGCCTGTATTGCCTAAATTGATGAGAACTATGAACACAAAAAAAGGGTGTATCATGAACTTAGATAAAAATTAAGTTTGGTGGAACAGAATTTTTACCTTTGTGTAGGTCAGTCTTTCAGTTAAAATAAGTATAAAAAATGCTAAGCACAGCACAGCACTCTGCTCAAGGGTGCTATCAGGAATTCAGTAATGATGCATTTATGATATTCATTAACTTAAAGACATAAATATCTGCAATAACTAACTCGTTAGAAAGGCAACTAACGTTCACCAGGACGACGCACAATTGACCAAAATCAGCAAGAACTAAATTAGTACTAAACTGCTGCAGGAGGAAAAGAAGAAAAGTACCATGTTACTGAAAAAGCCCCATTGCTTCTTAGTAAGTGGGGACCCATGGACGAAGCACAGGACTCCGGCAGAGGGTAAAAAAATAAACTTAAGTGCTTCCTTGTTGCCTGCACTTGAAGTGAATATGGCAGTGGGAAACCAGATCTGGGCAGAGAAAGAGGACAAAATCATCTCTATTTACAAGGATGGAAACATATCTATTTCCCTTCCCTTTGTGTTTGAGCTTCAGCTTATTTTTCTTAACCTTAAAATGTATTTCATTTTTTTCAATTTGTAGTGACACTGAGGAATTGACATTTTCCAGTTCACAAAGCACATTGTCTTCAACCAGTCTACATCCTGGCAAATGCAGAGCCACACCACCTGCTTTAAAGACCAGTTACATTAAGTCAGTGAACTGGACAATTACTTTCATAAAAAATAGAAAAAAATTAGTCCTTGAGTAAGTTTCTTTCTTAGATTTGTAAAAGTCCAAATAAAAAAGGGAATAAATTCAGCTAAAGTTTGCAACAACTGACTTAATAGGAACTTAATAAAATGCTGTTCATTAGCTGGATCACACAAACCTCAGCATGCAGACAGTCATACATCAGACTGAAGTGGTAGTGAGGTCTGAATACTGTTGGCTTAAAAGGTTACAGGTGTGGACCAATCTTCTTGTGCACAAATCCTCATTTCTGCTGCAAATAAAAGCCTGGCTTTACTCAAGCCAGGTCAAACCTCTGAGTCTGCTGCAGAGAAGGGCACTGTTTCTAATTGAGTCAGCTTCCTTTGGGAACTGAGAAACAGCTGTACTTGCTGTATTCAAAAGAACCAAATTTTAAAGCTTAATGCTTAAATTCAGGCTATGTGACTACAAGATTAGGAGCTGGTATTAACTCATGCAAAGGGAAAAAGGAGGCCTTCAATTCAATTCAAAAGTAAAAAAACTCAGAAGAGATGGATGACATTTTTTATAAAGCACATTAATCCAGGAGCGAATAATGGAGGTCATGTAACAGAGATCACCTATTTAGAAGGATTCAAACAAGGCTTGAACACTTACATTGCAGAAATAGTCAGAATAGTGAAGCAAACAAGAAGGCAGGGTCAAAAGCAGAGGTGAAGAGTTTTGGGGATTTTGTAAACCCTGGTCATCCCAGGACACAGCTCACTCATCAGGATTGACACAAACTTTCCTCAGTAAGGTAGTAACATGTCCCACATTCCCTGTACTGGTTCTTTTTTTCTAAAGCATCTCAGTCATCTCCACTGGTAGTGCCAAGACAACAGCAAGGCAAGTACCACATGGAGGGACAGCCATGCTGGCTGCTGCTTCAACTCCACAAGAGCAACTATGGACAAAAGCTGGAGATGTTCCTGACAAGTGCCAGAGGCACCAAAATGTTCATCAGAAATTTAACAACAGACTAGATCCATGAGTGCCAAGAGCTGCAGCTGTAGTAATTCCCTCTGAACCCTTCCCACGCTCTTGCTCTTCCTCCAGGAACCACATCATGCAGCATGCTGTACTGCCCTCTCCCATATGTAAAAATAACCCAAACCTCAAGTTTCAGAATATCATGCTGCAGTTTACGCTGGAAGTCGAGGAAGTGGGAGATGGTCAGCTTCCCCTTCAGATCCGCTCCAAAGAAGTATGTTGTCAATGCAGAGTTGAAGCCAGTTTTCAGTGTGTTCCCTGTTGTAGACCGGTCTCTGTGACGCATTCCCATGCTGGTTTGGGAACGAATGATGCTCTGGACCTAAAAATAAGAAGGATGCTAGTTTAAAAGACAGCACTGGGGCTTATACTAGTCAAGTATCAGCACAAAGTACACCATGCTTAGATGTGCGACCTTTTTCTTCCTGAAATAATTCTTGCAAGACATAACTCAAAAATTTGGCTGAACTTAGGCTCTGGGTTTTTTTTCAGTTCTTTTTAAAGAGAGAAGAGTATGAAATGCTTAGATGACTCTTAAGAAACAATTCAGTCTGCAGATTAGCTCTCTAGCACTGATCCTAAGCCTGGTCAGCAGAGAGCAGCTTTTTCCCAGAAAAGTTGCAGGAGGAAAGAAAGCCAAAACAACTGTGGGGAAGAAAACAAACCTGCACACGTTTTGGAGCTTCCATTCTTACTATACTACACATCCTTGTCAGCTCACACCAACCTCAGTAAGCCCACACTGTATTTCCTTTCCCCTTGTGTACATAACCAGGGGTTTTCTAACCCAGAAGCACATGCACCTTGCTGCCTGCTGCTTTCTACCATGGCTAGAATCCTCCATCCCTGGGGCTGTGCAGCAAGCTGATCTGCAGGCAGGGACTGACCCACCTGCAACAAAGAGCTCTTCAAAAGTCCTACAGGCTGCATCAGGCCAAATACAATCCCAACGGCAGCACTAGCAGAATAAATCATGCAGAAGTATCTGAGTTACTGGCAGACCAGGATATTTGCACAAAGACAGCCAAGTGTGAAAGCACACATTATAAGAGCAATATCTCAGACAAACCACACAGGCAACCTTCCTCCTTCTTCTCCTCTGAGCTCTCAGTAGTGCCCTGGTGCCTTCTTGAAAGCACTGCTCAACTTGAGCTGATGCTATGGCACACAGCGAGGACATGCAGGACAACTTCCCTGACCCCTACAACAAAAGGTTGAACATCAAGGATGCCACAGCCTGAAAAATCAAGAGTTTGTTATTGTAAGGGTCCTGTGCTAATTTAAGGGGACAGCCAAGCCAAGTATTCAATCCCTTCCTCTCTCCATCCCCAAGTATCCTACTACCCCCTTCCCAGCATCTACCCATCTGAACGATTGCTGCTGGGACATAAGAAGCCAGGCTTATTTTTTGTGTAACAACTCATCTCTTCCAACAAGGCAGCAGCAGGATTCATTTTAAGGATGTGTAAGAAAGAAGGGAAAAAAGAGCTACCTGGTGTGCTGCCTGGCACTCAGCATAGTCTCAACAGCAGAGACTTCCCGAAGCTCCAGCTAACACTGCTGCTTTACCTTCAGCCTCTTCCTCCTGTTGACAAAAGCTGGAGGAAGAAAAACAGCTGCCAAGAGCCCCAGCCGTCGAAAGGATGCCAAAACCTTGTTATCATGGTATATGGTGTGTTCATTTTTTTCCTAACAACGGAGCGAGCGTTGAAACTACCCCAAAGGGGATGCTGTGGAGGAGAACACTGCATGTTGCTGCTGGGCTTCCCCCACTTGAAATGCTGCCTCTGAAACACAGACTCCTGGCTATTCTTCCACTACAAAGAAAAATCAAGTCAGAGGAAAAAAAAACAAAACCCCATAAAAAAAGGTTTTGAGGCTTTTTGTTAAACACGCACTATGATGCAAGGAAGGATTTTTGCCCTGTAAATAGCATCTCCTTATTTTGCTTTGTGCTCCACTTTAACTGCAAGACCTGCAAGCACATTTAGGAGACAAATATTTATAAACTGTCTGAAGCAATGCAGTTTATGACCAGCTTGGAAAAATGCCCCTGTTTCTGCAGAAGTGAATGTTTACCACATTGCAGACTGTTCAATAGAGCATGTTTTCTTGGGTGTTATTTATATGGCATCCTACACCACGCTTTCTCTCAGAAAAGAAAGGAAAAAAGTGTCCTACAGTTTGAAAATCCATCTGTAGGCACTGAAGCCAAAATTATTTGGCTGGTCCCTATCTTAGGCAATCCATCCAACACCAAGAAAGGCAGGAAACCACTGCAAGAAGCTGCCCTCCAGCCCAGCCAGTGCTGTCCTCCCCCACAGTTCATCGATCATACTCTGATGTGAAGCAGAGAGATGCTTCCCTGCCTTTTGTGTGTATTTCAGCCTAAGTGTTTGTGTTCTGTTCCACCTTTTGCACCAGACAAGGAAAACCAATTAAAAAATCAATGAAAATAGTTAATGGTTTGACAAGAAATCACAAGTAACACTGCCTGCAAGTTTACTACTTTTCATTCAGCTTTTTAATTAAAACTAGAAAAGTAAGCAAACAATTTACATGCTGATGCAGGCACTGAGCTATTCAGCACTATCCATTGATCATATGTATCAGGTGGGGAAAAAATCTGAGGCTCTTCAGTGAGGCTTGGAGAAATTCAGTATTTTCTTATTAGGTAGCTGAAGCCTCTGACTTGCTTGCATATTAGCTAAATTACTGCAAGTAATTTCCTTTCTTGATGAATACTCTTAAGGTTTTGCAGACATTAATGAGAAGAGGAACCCGCTGCTGGGTGTCTCCAATGACTATGTGTGAAAAACGAGTATGAAATTCATTTCCATGAGCTCATAGCTATCAGGGACAGTATGATGCTTCTCTGGCGACCCTTTTCTTTCCCTTCTTCTTCTACCCATTCTCCTCAAAGCAATGTTGCTCTTTTAAGCTGATGTTACCTCTGTCGGCAAATCTCCTTGAAGGGCTAGTTCCAGCTGCCCCTACCAGGTAAGATGTGTATGGGACAAATCTGCAAACCCTGCCATCCTTCATGTTTACTCAGGCATTTACACAAGGAGTGAAACAGAGTATACAAAATGTTGTGTGTGTTATATGTTTATTGCTATATATGTGCCTCCTGCTGAAGCTATTAATTATCTTTGGGAAGTGCAGCAAATAGGTTATAGTGATACCTGCGAAAGTACTGCCAGCTGCTTCTCACTTTCCAAAACAGCTCCTTCATTCTCTGACTCAAAAGCTGTGGAAGATCAGACTTCACCAAAATATTCTGATGCTACCCAGGAATTTTATTCCCTTATATAGAGGCAGTGACGCATGTAACAAGCTTAACAAAAGTATGTTCCCCTTCTAAGGACATTTATATGACTTAATGCACAGATAATGTCCCTTTGCCTACCAGATGATCTGAGATAATCCGATTTTGTACCTTCATCTTCATAGCACTTCTGAAACATTCATCCTCAAGAAGCATTCTTACTTTACATGGCTAATAAAAGAGCCAAACATGACACCTGCGCTCGTACCTTGGCATCACTACATTGTTGGTAGGCGGTTAACTGTTTCCCACTTTTCTTGAATTCATTTATCTCCATAATTGATTTCACTCTAAAACATTAGTAGCTAGTATAAAACACTCTTGAATTGTTAAATATTATCAGATTGGTGCAGTGGAGTGCTGTATTCCTGCACTGTGCAAGCAGAAGGAAGAACAGTATTTCTTTTTTTTTACTTGGGAAAACAGGAAACTTCGTTTTCCATAGCTAGATCAGTAGCTTGTAGGGAGGCAGTGTCAAACAGCACAATAACCTGTACACGGCTGTGTATTCAAATACGCACTTAAAGGAACATGAACAAACTGCTGTGTTTACATTACAAACTGTCAAGTGAAAGGATATCATATTGGAGAGAAATATACTCCATTCTTCTCCAAAGCTTGCAGAAACATATAAAACGTACAGCTCTGGAGCAAACTCATAGTAATGACATCATACCCACAGGTAATAATTCAAGGAGGATGACTGCAAAAGATTAGGAGGAGGGAATTAATTAAACAGACCTGCTTTGCCACTAGTACTTCCCATTTATAAGCAAGCACTCCAAGCATGCCCTCTTAAGGACTCTTCCAAAGTTAACCAGTCTTTCAATCAACTGATGAGTAAGAATTTGTAACTAGATTATTCACGGCTGTTTTGTTCTTAGATATCAGTAAACAGCTTTTCACCTTCACCAAATATGGATGTCCTCCAGCGTAAAGAGCCTGGCAAGGGCAGGTTATTTTTTTAAACCAGAGAGTACAATTTCCTTTGCCCAGAAGCAGAAGCTTCCACTTGCCCACTAAACATACTGCTCTAAGGGATATCGGGTCACAGAAGTGCCAGGGGCCACATGAATATTAGGCAGATTAGTGAGTGGTGTATCTCCTCTACCTTGTTCTTCTGTAACAGAGATGGTGAGTTTCCAACCAACCGGTCAATTCCCTTGTTTGCAAATGCATTTATTTTCCTTTCATGAGTAGCACACACTGGGAGCTTTGCTAATATTCAGGGACTTCAGGATGTTTATGAGTTTCCAAAGCCTTAAGGCTGTTTCCTACATAGGTAAGAAAACCATACCTTCTGCCTCAGGAGGTCAGATCTCTCCACTGACAACTCAAGTCTTCAATGTATTCTCACGCTAACACAATCACAAACTACAGCTTTCAGGAGGACCTCACTAGTGTGAGACATGCAGGCTAAGCTCATTAAAAAGCTTGCATCAAGCTCCCTGTTGATGAAACCTTGTAAGTAGTAGGGGGAAAAAAACCACCCTAATAACATGCTTTCGATTACATGGAAATAAGTGGCTAAATTCTTCTTCGAAGCAGACTCATCCTAGTTATTCTCTGAAGACAAACAAAATTAAGGAATGCAGTAAAAGCTGTGGAAGAGAACAGGATCAAAATCCTATGACACCAGTAGAGTGAAAAAAATTCTTTATCTACATTGGAGGTAACATCTTGTAAAGAAAGATACCTTGGTGACAAAGTCATAGCAAATCAGAGTTTATACTTAAAGTTGTCCTAGTTGAGTGAAAAACTGCCTTGAAATATCCAGTTAAAAAACAAAAAGAACAAAGGCAGGCACTAAGGCAAGACAGAAGAAAAAGACGTAAACCAGCACTAACCACAAAAATAATTCACAATGACATTGCAGAGGAGTGCTGCACTTATGACTAAGATGCCATAGCATTAAGAACTCAACCTGTCATTCAACTTGCCTGCTCAAACTCTTCCATGTCCACCTCACCGTCACCGTTCAGATCAAACATCTTAAAGGCAATTTCAAAATTCCTCTGGGGAGCTACATAAAAAGAAAACAAGGCAATACAAAACAAACACCAGTTAATAAAGATACAAAAGCTCAATAAAACCAGCACAAGTTCAGAATGACTTTATCCAAATGCAATTTTCTGCAATTCTTGCAATTTTAATATGAAAATACAGTTCTTGGGAACCTCTAACTACAGGCTTCATGGAGCTCCCTTTACCAAAGGTCTCAGCAAGGAGGCTGGGAGGAGGAGATGCTTTTTGAACAAAATTTATTACATTTACAGGTAGAAAAAACCAAGACAACATCTTATATTTCTACTAACAATCAACAGAAGACAATGCTGTAGAAAGAGCTTCAGCCCGCTTCATAAAGCGGAACACCAATTTGGCCAGAGGACATTCCTTCAGCACTGCAGAGCACTCTCAATGCTTTGTGAAGCAGCCAGTGGGTGAGGAGCAGACATGGACTTTGAGTAATTCTATCCCAGGCTCAGCTCTTGTCTTGTGCTACAAATTTAAACAAATCATTACCAATTCTGTCTCAGTCCAGTTATGACATTGAGATAACGCACGAGCTGATGCTCACCAGCTAAGACACACTCGCGGTAGTGTGGTACCTTATTTTTCATTGCATTTAGTTTATGTTGTCATGGCCTATCTAGTCAGAACTCTGCAAAAGTACTGCATCACAGCAAAACCACATTCCTTCCCCTGCATCCCACCGAAGAATTTCAGTATGCTTCCAATTCGGGCTCTGTAATACATCAGCATTTAAAGCTACACCACACTGCCACATTTTTTTCCAAATTAAGTTAATATATGAGAATTTGTCTTGCTCTGCTACTTTCAAATACATACCACCTACAGGAACTTTGGTGTTTGCTGGGATTTCTAGGGAACCCTCTAGGCTATAGCTAGTGCTTAAATTGCAATCTTAAATGACAATTAAAACTTGGCACCTTTTTTGTGTTCTGAAGATAGCTCTTCCATACCCAAATCTGGCAGGAGGATGTACATCACTGGTGAAGCTCATCCCCCTTTAATGTAATCTGTTGCAATCAACTTTGAGTATTTCTTGCGGATGCTCAAAAAGGAATGAGTTTCTGCAACTGCCCTTCTGTGCTAATGCATCTCCCAGATGGAGGTGGAAGGGAGGATGCAAAGATGAATCACTCAGACAAAAAGAAATTAATATGGAATTAACTGAACTGAATTTTGGACATTAGTTACAGCTTCAGCTTAAGGCCAGGAGACTTTTACAGGTTTTGCCCTTACTGTAATAAACTGTAGTACTTTTATCACTACAAGATTCAGCAGAGTTAATGAGATCACATTTTCACTTTCTGCCTTAAACAGATGTGTAACAACATTAAACTCAATGGCAGGAATGGCCTGTAGCTAAACCACTTGACATACAGTCCTGCTGTTATCATCTCTGGATTTCCATTTTCCTCATGCCACTTTTTGGAGGTTTTAAATTCCAAACACCACATGGATAAGCAATGTTTCCTACAAGCCAGGCAATTGCCAGCAGCACATGGTGGGTTATCCCTACACAACCCTGCAGCAGAAGCCCTACCTCCTCCACTCAGCTTCTCTGTCCTGTCTGCTGGGATGAGACCTTTGCTCACCATCACTTGTTAATTCTGCATGAGCTGAGCTATAATCAGGGGGAGTGGCTGTGCCCAACACCAACTTTACAATCTCTCCAATGATGCAATCTAATTAAAGGGATTGATATAAAAAGCCTCCTCTGTAGCCATCCTTCATTTCCAGTGATTAATTCCACAATTATATTAAATAATAAATATTAAGCACCTTCCAGCTACCCTCTTAGTGTTTCTATAACACATCCAATGTTATTCAGTTGAATTGCAAGTACCGCATGAAAGCCTGGAAGCAATTTCTTCTTAGCCACAAAAATCTAGTGCTGCATGGAAAATGTTGTTTCCTCTATGAGGAAAAGTAGGAATATGCAGAACTCTCAAACAGATACAAGATACTAGAAAAAGAGCAATTCACACATCTCATCTTTCTTCCCCTATTTTCTCTGCCAGGGTACAATGATGCATATTGTGAGATAGGAAAATATTTTACTCCTGTTAAAAATGGGTGTAATTTTTTTGGTGAGTGCCCTCCCTTCCCCTTTTTCTTTACGGAAATACATTATACCATGTTCCATTTGTACCAACAGGGTGAACAGAGAAAGTGAGATACTTAACTTACCCCTCCCAAAGTCCATTTCCTTCCTTTCCTTTCTCTAATACACATTTTCAAGAGCAGTTTATCTAACTCCCAGAGGAGAACATCACTTGCAAAATTAAAATGAACAGTTCAGCACCAAAAATCTGCAGGGTCAGTATTTTTGAAGGACAGGGAAAGAAAGTAGCTTTAAATTGGCAAATTTAATTACTTCAACCCTTTAGCTAATAAATGACACAACCCGTTTCTTCCTCTGATCTGCATATCCAACTCCAATTACTTGTAATGACACATATCCAACAAATGTGAGTATGAACCAGGGAAACCAGAGGGCACCAAAGACAATTAGTTCATCCCACTCCTGCTCAGGAGGAAATGTTCATTAAGATGCATGTCCCTGAATGTATTGGTCCCAGACAAGATGATTTCTGCCTCTCCTCTTAGGCATGACGTTTCTGCTCAGGATTTATTGAGGAAGAGTCATCCCAATGGCAGCTGACTCCCCTTGCCCATCCTGCCCCACTACTCATGGTTACATCAGCTTTTACAACCTCCATTTTTCTTCTTCCTGTTGTATTTACGTATTTCAGAAATTTGCAGACCATAAGAGCAGCAGATACCAGTTTGCCTAGTTAAACTTAGCTTTCCCCCCATCTTTTATTCTGCCCCAAATTTTACCGTTCTTGACTGCAGTGTCTCCAGATTTCCCCACCACTTCCTTAATTAAAACGCACCAAAATGAACGCAATATTCCTCCTGCAATAGTTATTAAAACCACTTAAAGGACTGTTTGCTTTTAAAACAGTGCAATGCCTGTCTTTATAAGGGAAAACCACTTCTGCTTTTTCCAAGTGCTTTGCTGCATTTTCAGCTCTCTGATTTTGTGAGCTATCTCCTTGCCATCCTTTTTGACATTATTAAGAATCAAGATGTTTCATTGCATCTCATTTCCTTTGGGCAATGAGTCAGGAACTGGTGAGAGCAACTGCAGTTTCTTTTCCAGTTTTATTTCTAGTCTGTAGGTGTTCAGGATATGACTTCCTAATGATTCTTCCAAATCATTAACATGAAAACATGGTACTGGTGCCCACAACAATGCCAACTGATGTTACGTACTTCTAGCTTGTAGATATTTGTAACTGTAGCTAAAAAGATCAGGTTGAAATCGTTCCGTAGATCTATAGGTCCATCAGCTCTACACACCAAGGTGCTTTTCGACTCACCAGGGAGTTAGTGCAAAGGACAATTAATATTTTTCTTAACTCATTTGTTCAAATGAAACATTATGGAACAGAAAGGCAATAATAAAAGCAAAAAGCCACACAGTAACATTATGAAGATGACCAGCCTCAACCAGACAAACAGATGATAAGCAGCAGCACTGACCATACTGAAAAAAACCCCACTCTATCCATCAGTATAAAGCTCCAGAGAACCTCTGAGGGATTAGATGGTTTGATGAGGCATCTTTAAGTCAATTATGTCATTTTCAACTATTTTCAATTATTCAATGGACCAATGTGTAGCACTCAATTGCTCTTTATTGCCATTTACTCTCACCAGAAGCAATGCATTCTTGAAAGACAGCAAATGCTCACTGATGAGAAAAGCCATATTTTACTATTTTTACGCTCATGTGATCTTCCCACCAAGCTCAATACTCACAAAAATTGTCTACAGAACACCCACCTCCAGCAGAGGTACTGCATTTTAAGAAAACTATTTTTAACACCCTTTTTGAGAATAAACATTGCACCCTTCAGGTGAAGTTGAGAATTTCTTTGACAAAGTAGGGTGGGTTTTGGTGATGTTACCTAAAGGATGTAAAAATTCTGTCTACTCCTTTGAAAACCCTGAAATTTCTCATCTTCCATTGGGAATTCAAACACAAAAGAGCTCAAGCCTCCCATATTGATCTCAAAGCCCAGTAATGACCCAAGCAACACCAGTGTGGGAAGAAAGATCAAGAATTTGGCTGGGGAGTTATTCTGAGGAAAGTTAATCACTAGGAATTAAATACTCTGTGAACACTTATTTCCCATCTATCTAAAAATTAAGAAAAAAATATATTTGCAAAGGCCACAGTACCCTGAAACCAATAAAATGTCTCTTCACAATCAATTACAAATTAACACAGTCCTCTCCTAAAGTACAGACAGGTTTTCATTTAGAGAGATGGATGCTCAAGCCTTGCAGCTGTAATTGTACTTTTTCTTTTCCTCTTTAAGGCCACAGCATTAAAAAAAAAAGCTTACCTTTTCCTCCAGCCAAAGATTAATCAAATTTCCCCACCCCCTTAAGTTATGTGAATCAACACGGTCATTATTCTATCTCACTTCGCACAGCAGTATTTTAGCCAAGAAATGTTTCTGTACCTTTTTGAATTGGAACATTTCTGTCTGACGGAAGGAATCAGGGTCATAGATGAGCTCACCCTTACAAAATCACAGCCTGCAGCCCAGCATCAGTATTTAGTTTATTGTTAGCAACTGCATCAGGAACAGAGAAAGATGATGTGCTTTCACATAATGAATTTTAAAATGCTCTGATTTTTTTTTTTTTTTTTGAAAACAGAGTTACAGCTTCATAGGGCACAAACCACCCATAGAATACAGACAGTTGAGCCCCAGCTACAATATATATATATGGGGGGAAACCCCACTAAACCGTCCTAATGCTGCATGTATTTTCCTTTCAAATTATTCCACTATTTCAGAAAAATCCAAATCCCACCAACTTTTTTTTTTGCTGGTCTTGCAAGGTAAAAACACCACCACTGCTAACTGTAAGGCTCTGAACAACCCAGACCAAGAGAAATCAAGCTTGTGT